ACCCCACGGCATGGATAAGCACCTTCATGTCACAGCTGGGAACTGTTGCTCCATACCACTCTGAAGTGGTTCAGGTTGGACAGTTTGGGAACCTCTAAGCAGAGACCAAAGTCCCTTATAAGCCTGTTTTCTTCTTGGGCCAAGGTTGGGCTGGTATTCCTATCTCTAAGTATGAAATTATCAGGGTTTGGAAGAACAAGGCAATGTGTGCTGAGAAATATCACTCTCTTTGAAGAGTATTATTTATCCACTTCCTTTGTCCAGTTCATTAATGACTAAGTAGTGGTTGAAATAACAGAAAAGATAAGTCCGGGGTTTTTCTAAGGCCACATTTGAGTATAAATCTGTTTTCTTAACATATCCTCTTTCCTTCCTCTGAGACGTTTACAATCTTTTTGTGTTTAGAGCAAGGAGAAGGAATGAAGCATGTGCTGTCACTGCCCTTGAACTTCTTTGCAAAGCTGGCGCTGCTTTCCCCTCAGTTTACTTCAGTTCTTGTTGGTTTGCCTCTCTGTCGGCATCAGCTTGCAGGAGGATCCCTTATAAAATGGAAACCTTTCCTGTAAGGCATTCCTTTCCACCCTGTAAAAAGTCTTTGCTGTAAACTTGCTCCAGGCTTACTAACCATTTTGCACCAGAGTCATAAATTTGAATAACTTCACAGAAGAGGATTTGCCTGAAAGTGGGTCACACAAACAGCCCTCTTCAGACAGGGGCTGACACAGTATGGTACAGTAGGCTTTCTCCTGTATAATAAAAGAAAATAAATGACAGCAATTAGCTTGCCTGTTCTGCCACAAGCCTTACACCTCTAGCACTTCTGTTCACTTTGGGACAGGTTTTAGGCCTGGAAGGAATGCAGAATTAGGAATTGCTATGGAGTGATATCTCCGTAATATCAGCAGGCTCCAGACATTTAACCACTTAAATGCCCAGCTCAGGATTGCAATAGCAAGATGTTACTCCTTCTGTGAGCTAATAGCAGAGACACATAATTCGAGGGAAGTTTGAATGTGAATTTTGTGGCTGGTTTATGCCAATGGTAGCCACCTCTGGAATACCCAGGCTTTTTGTCTGTAGTCAGAGGTCCCCAAGCAGCCATGGGTGAATTGTTTCTCAGTGGTGTGGAGTGGTGGCTTCCAGCTGCATACAGGGCTGCAGTTACACCAGCTGTGAGGGGAACACCTCCACATCCACCAGAACTCACACTTAGCTGCTTCACTTGAATTTTGTGATTCTTACCAATTTCTAGCAGGAGGGAAAGAAAGACAATGGTGACTACAGGAGGAACTTGCAGCTTATTTCACGTGACAAAGAGAGGATTGCAAAACTTTAAAGCTGCTTCACTGTCTTTTATTCTCTATTAGCCTGTTTGTACAGTAATAGCATTTTACTTCAGCACAAGCACAACAAAAGTGTGTAGAACTTAATGAACCTAATTAAGTAACTTGGTTTAAGTCATTTTAAGGGGATGGAATGCAGACCTCCTAGCACCCTGCTTTAACACTTTAATCTGTTCTCTCCTCCAGCTGGCAAATTACATCCAAAACGTAGATGAAGAGAAATTATTATTGTCAGCAATAGAGATGGGTTAGACTAATTAACACAATAACAGTCCTAATACTGAAACTTCCAGTTAGTTGCTCCTGTGGTGAGTTATTCACGTGGATGTCTGATGCTCATCAAGATATTAATACCTTTGTTTTGAGGAAAGAAAAGCAGCCATCCTTGTCAGATAGCACAACTGTAGCCTGTTTTCAGACCAGAACAGATGCTGTTCTGGAGAAGTGAGTATGGTGCATGTCGCAGTGAGTTCCCGTGATGTCAGACGTAATTCCAGACTCTTGTCAAAGTATTGGCTTGAATTGAGGTGCTTCACTCATTTCTTTTGTAGACCCTAAACACTTAAAGACCTAATCCAAACGCAGTTGATGTTAACTGAACCTTGTATTGCTTTGGCGGGGGAGGTTTGAGGTCTTCAGCTGAGTCCTGTAGCACACTGTGATCATTCCAGGCCCTTCTCTCCAGCCTGCTGCTCTCCTCTGCCTAATCCAGTCTAATACGGTGTCCTTCTCATTGCTTTCGCGCTACCGGCAGTGATACAAATAATGATTATTACTGCATGACAACACTTTTGGTCTTACCCTTTACTCGATACTCTTACGCAATAAAATCTTTAGTGAATGAATAAATTATGTTTCTGGTCTGAGTAGTTGGGTGAAAAAAGTAACGAAACCCACAACCTTGCAAATATAAAAGCAATGAAGGGTTTTAAACCTAAATCTTCCAGAAGCTCCACTGGGCCACAAGATGACTTTGTCATCTCAATACAGTATTGCTTCCAAAACCTAGTACTTATAATTTAAGTTTCAACTTTAACTGTTGCATTACTGATTGTTTTAACAGAAACATAAGGCTGCTCTCAATTTTGTATTGCAGAGTAAGTGTCTGGTCTAACTTTAATTTACTTAGTTGACTAGGATTTCATGACTGTCCTTGGGAAGCAATTTTGTGTGTTGCCTGATAAATGACAGGAAGTTCCCCGACTTTAAATCTAACTTTCTCGCATTCAAGCTTTTTAACAGTATGGACTGTCTGTCTCAACCAGTTCAATTTTCAACTTGCACATGAACATTTATATCCACATTTTGTTATTATACACATATCTTGTTTCTGAATTTCTTTGGGTTTGTCTGGCTTGTTTTGTTCTTGAAGTGTCATTTGAAGTACAAACAAATCACCCATCTATCTGTTCATCTTACATAGAACTTGTGGTAAGCAAAGATGAAGGTCTTGAGCACCTACCTGCCTGCATAAGTATATGTGTGTATGTATGGGTCTCTGTTTTCAATACGAGAAAGCGCAGGTGCAATGGCAGTTCAGCAAGCTGGATCATGTGGCATTATTGGAAACACTTCTTTATGTTGCAGAATCACAGGAATAGTAGGAGTTGGAAGGGATCTAGAGATCATCTAGTCCAACCCCCTGCTATAGCAGGTTCACCTCGAGCGTGTTGCACAGGATTGTGTCCAGGCAGGTTTTGAATATCTCCAGAGAAGGAGACTCCACAACCTCTCTGGGCAGCCTGTGCCAGGGCTCTGTCTCCCTCAAAGTAAAGAAGCTTTTCCTCATGTTGAGACAGAATTTCCTGTGTTCCAGTTTGTGCCTATTGCCCTGTGTCCTGTCACTGGGCATCTCCAAAAAGCATCTGGCCCCGCCCTCTTGACACCCGTCCTTTAGGTATTTATAAGCGTTGATGAGATCCCCTCTCAGTCTTCTCTTCTTCAGGCTAAACAGACCGAGTCTCTCAGCCTTTCCTTGAAAGAGAGGTGCTCCAGTCCCCTGATCATCTTTGTGGCCCTCCACTGGAGTCTCTCCAGTAGCTCCTTGTCCTTCTTGAACTGGGGAGCCCAGAACTGGACACAGTACTCCAGATGAGGTCTCACTAGGGCAGAGTAGAGGGGGAGGATGACCTGCTCTTTTTAATGCCCCTCGGGATGCCATTGGCCTTCTTGGCCACAAGGGCACATTGCTGCCTCATGGTCAACTTGTTGTCCACCAAGACTCCCAGGTCCCTCTCTGCAGAGCTGCTTTCCAGCAGGTCAACCTCTAACCTGTACCAGTGCATGGGGTTTTTCCCCCCTAGGTGAAGGACCCTACACTTGCCTTTGCTTAATTTCCTTGGGTTCCTCTCTGCCTGACACTCTAGCCTGTCCAAGTCTCACTGAATGACAGCACAGCCTTCTGATGTGTCAGCCACTCCTCCCAGTTTTGTGTCATCAGGTAATTTTCTGAGGGTACACTCTGTCCCCTCATCCAGGTCGTTGATGAATATATTGAATAAGACTGGACCCAGTACTGACCCCTGGGGAATACTGCTAGTTACGAGCCTCCAACTCTGCACCACTGATCACAACCCTCTGAGCTCTGCCATTCAGCCAGTTCTCAAATCCACCTCATTGTCAACTCATCTAACATGCACTTCCTAAGCTTACCTATAAGGATGTTACAGGAGAGCATGTCAAAAGCGTTGCTGAATTCAAGGTAGACAACATCCATTGTTCTCCCCTCATCCAGCCAGCCAGCCATGCCATCTTAGAAGGCTATCAGATTGGTCAAGCATGATTTTCCCTTGGTGAATCCATGTTGACCATTTCCAATAACCTTCTTTTCCTCCACATGCTTAGAGATGACATACAGAATGAGCTGTCCCGTCACCTTTCCATGGTTGGAGGTGAGGCTCACTGGCCTGTAGTTTCCTGGGTCTTCCTTCTTGCCCTTTTTGAAGACTGGAGTGACCTTGGCTTTCCTCCTCAGCAGTCCTCAGGCACCTCTCCTGTTCTCCATGACCTTTCAAAGATGTTGTCATTGCCGATTGCAGCAAAAGTGTTTTTCCTTCAGCGTTGTATTAAGTTCATATGATTTCAGAGACATCAGAATGGTATTTACAGCTAAGGGGCTGCCTTCTTTGCAAATCTTAGAAAATGTGTGGAATGCTTGGTGGCATGAAGCAGCATTCTGATTTTTAGATCTGGGTATTTGTGGCACCACAGTGTGCTTCTTTAGCTTCCCTTTTTGTTATGTCATTATACGGTGTCACTCTGCTTCCCTGCCTGCTTCCCTCTCCTCTGTGCCCATACAAAGTTGGTTTGCTTGGAGATAGTATATCTAAAGAGGAAAAGGCAAGTGTCCCCCATGCATGGTGCACCTCCACATATTTAGAGAATGTACTGGTCTCTCCAAGAAGGTAGGTGCTACTTTGCAATGTATCTTTAATTCTTGGCACTTTGTCTAGGTATCGAGGGTGGGATGGAGAAATCACACTGCAGTTGTATAAATAAATCAGAAAGGTAGGAAATTCATGTGATAGCACCATCTATTAAGTACCAATTGTGATTACCTAGCTTACGGAATGATCTGAGATGATTGATTAGGGTTCCCATGCTGAACCCTTCACTGTGGCACAGTCCTGATGCAGTTTCTTTCATGTTTATCTTCAGGAGCTTCTAGAAGTGGGAAGAGGGAATCTAGTTGTGTGACAGCAGCCCTTGGCAACACGTGGAGTCACAGTGTCAACACCAGGCTCATACTACAATATCACGACTTACCGACAAGACAGGTGAGAACTTAACAATAAAGGTACTTTAAATAAAGCTACACCAGCAATGCTAGGTCAGATGGGCTGTGTCCTTCAGCCCCTGTGATTATGCCAGGTGTGTTGAGAACCTGGCACTCTACAACCATTTGCTTATTTGGGGTGAGGTGCAGTCAGTGTTCTTTTCTTTTCAGGGATGGCCAGTCCTCCAGTGCCTCCCTTGCGTTAGGATGGACTTATCTGAGTTGCAGAACCTAGTGTTGGCCTGTTGGCGCAGGCATACAAGTTTCTTGAGCTTTTACTGCATTTTTAGTGTGTTTGCCCCCTAAGCTAGAAGACAGGGACAGGAGCAGAATGAAGCCCCCATAATCCAAGGGGAAATGATGAGTGATCTGCTACAGCACTTGTACGTTCACAAGTCTATGGGGCCAAATGGGATCCACCCAGGGGTACTGAGGGAGCTGGCAGAAGTGCTCACCAAGCCATTTTCCATCACTTATCAGCAGTCCTGGCCAACCAGGGAGGTCTCAGTTGACTGGAGGTTAGCAGATGTGATGCCCATCCACAAGAAAGGCTGGAAGGAGGATCTGGGGAACTACAGGCCTGTCATTCTGACGTCAGTGCTGGGAAAGGTTGTGGAGCACATCATCCTGAGTGCCATTACATGGCACATGCAGGACAACCAAGTGATCAGGCCCAGTCAGCATAGGTTCATGAAAGTCAGGTCGTGCTTGACAAACCTGATCTCCTTCTATGACAAGGTGACCTGCTTAGTGGGTGAGAAAAGGCTGTGGATGTTGTTTACCTGGACTTCAGTGAAGCCTTTGACGCTGTTTCCCACAGCATTCTCCTGGAGAAACTGCCTGCTCGTGGCTTGGATAGGTGTACCCTTCACTGGGTAAAAAAATGTCTGGTTGGCTGGGCCCGAAGTGTGGTGGTGAATGGAGTTAAATCCCGTTGGTGGCCAGTCAGTAGTGGTGTTTCCCAGGGCTTGGTATTGGGGCAGGTTCTCTGTGATATCTTTATCAATGACCTGGACAAGGGGATCGAGTGCACCCTCAGTAAGTTCGCAGATGACACCAAGTTGGGTGGGACTGTCGATCTGCGTGAGGGTAGGAAGGCTCTACAGGGCCATCTCAACAGGCTGGACTGATGGGCTTGCGGTCAAAGGTATGAGGTTCAACAAGGCCAAGTGCCAGGTCCTGCACTTTGGTCACAACAACCCCATGCAACGCTACAGGCTTGGGGAAGGGTGGCTGGAAAGCTGCCCGGCAGAAAAGGACCTGGGGGTGTTGGTGGACAGCCAGCTGAATATGAGCCAGCAGTGTGCCCAGGTGGCCAAGAAGGCCAACAGCATCCTGGCCTGTATCAGGAATAGTGTGGCCAGCAGGACTAGGGAAGTGATCGTCCCCCTGTACTTGGCACTGGTGAGGCCCCACCTCGAATACTGTGTTCAGTTTTGGGCCCTTCACTACAAGAAAGACATTGAGGTGCTGGAGCGTGTCCAGAGAAGGGCTGCAAAGCTGGTGAAGAGTCTAGAGCACAAGTCTTTTGAGGACTAGCTGAGGGAACTGGGGTTGTTTAGTCTGGAGAAGAGGAGGCTGAGGGGAGACCTTATCCCTCTCTACAACTACCTGAAAGGAGGTTGTAGCAAGGCAGGAGTTGGTCTCTTCTCCCAAGTAACAAGCGATAGGACAAGAGGAAATGGCCTCAAGTTATGCCAGGGGAGGTTTAGGATGGATATTAGGAAAAATTTCTTCACGGAAAGCGTTGTCAAGCATTGGAACAGGCTGCCCAGGGAAGTGGTGGAATCACCTTCCGTGGAGGTATTTAAAAGACCTGTAGATGTGGTGCTTAGGGACGTGGTTTAGTGGTGGTTTTGGCAGTGTTAGGGTAACGGTTGGACTCAATGATCTTAAAGGTCCCTTCCAACCTAGACGATCCTATGATTCACGTTGTGGATATGAAAGGTAATCCTTAAAATGCTTTCCTGTGCTGAGATTCTGGGGCAGGAGTAGGAGGCTAGTCCTTTCACTGCCATGATTGGTTTGCTGTCATCCTTGCCACTCTTTGTGCCAAATTTTATCTGTGACTGTTAGGACAGGGAGCACTTTATCTTCTGCAGCTCCTGTTTGCAAGTGGAAGCTTACTGCCTGCACCAGCAAGCTTCGCTTTGAGGAGTAAGTATGGTACCAATTTTCCAGAAGTATGTCTGCAAAAAGGAGAACGCTTACCCTTTTTGCTAAGAGACTTCATGCTTATGAGTGAAATATAGTACATTTTTGACTGCAATCTTCACTTCTTAATTTAACAAAAAAAAAAAGTAAAAACTAGGAGGCAAGACATTTGGGATTTGATTGAGGGAATAACTTTTTCATTTTTAAAAACATCATAACCCATGATTTCATCTCTCCCTTGGGATATCTGTGGTTATAATCTCTTTTGGCTTTGTCTTTTCTGTTTTTGCATTGGTGTAACTCTTTCCAAAGGCTGTGACCCTCAGTCTTAATGTTATTGATTTTCTGCCCCTTAAGGTAGAGAGCTGTCAGAAAAATTGCTGTGAGAAATTTGTACCATCTTACTCCCATAGCATTACTACCCACACACATTTAAATTGGTGCTCCTGGTTTTACTGCCATAACACAAGGTTTCTCGCTTTAGAGCCAGAGAAGAGGAAGTCATCCTGGTTTGTTTTGCCCATTGGAAGCAAAAACTAATGATGGCACTTTTGTTCCTGTGAGTAGTGGGCACTGTGAAGCAGCAGTAGTGCTCTGGACTCTCAGGTATTAGGTAAAGTGTGTCAAATGCAGTTAGAAGAAGCATCTTCTAAACTTGCTTCTAAAGACCATGCACAGTTGTATAGAAATACACTCTTACTGTTGCTGCTCTTGTAAGTTCTCTATGTTCTGCTTCTTATTCTGGTCTGTAATGGGTTCTCCTTTTCTACATGTATGTGCAAAATAAAAAGCTGTTCACGGATTTCCTGGATTGCTTTGGAGGTACATGAGAGGTGGAGTTGGCAAAGGGAAAAGGGCAGAAGCTGGGCTCTGTGCTATTTCATGATGCACAAAGTCAGCTAAAGAGGATTAAGAACATTCCTCTGGTGGTGGAAAGAGGGAGCAGTTTTCCTAAAGAACATTTGGCTATTAAATGTAGTTTTTCCTGATTATGTTTGAGAAGGAATAGATCGCAAGTGTATGAAATGCTATTTTCAAGCATTTAAAATTCCTTTATAAAAAGTATATTATGAGCCACCGAAAAAAGCAGAGTTTTACTCTGTTCCTAACTGAGTTTATCAGGTGCATCACCTTGTTTGCATGTAAAGCCATGGGCTCATTCAGTTTCAGTTGAGCAGAAGAACTAAAGCAGAGGAAAAACAACCTTAAAGTAAACATTAGTGTATAATTATTATTAGCAAAGTAATTTGAAACAGAAGTGTGATATAAATAGGGATATGTCTGAGAAATCCATGAATGAAATTGGGTATGTCCATGATGTCCTGTAAGTATTTTCCTGTTGCTGATCTCTGTGTCCCTTTTTTAGATAAATCCTCTTTTTTTAAAGTCACAGAAATCTTTCAACTAGACATGCAGTTTCGAGTTAGAGGAAGGCATCTAGAATTACTCTGCCTGTAGCAGCACTGTATTGATTAAATTGCTGTAGTTTTACACATATATGTTCTTGTATAATTGCTTTATACCCACTGAGAAATGAATTGTGAATAAAGGTGCCTCAGTTCTTGAGATGCCATTTCAGTCATCATAAGGTGGTTCTGCCAGGAGGTATTGGATATCAGTGCTTTGAAAATCAGCACTTTTTAAGGAAGCTTAACTTAGGGGTCCAAAAATTTCCGAGTCAGTAATCACTTTTATAAATTCTCATATTACTGTATTTAAAAAAAAAAAAAAAAGCTTGTGATTATCTGTGTACTCTTGGTTTTGAAGTGAAATTCTGCCCCAGGAAATCACCAAAAGCACACAGTTGTTCCAGAGATTTGGGTGAAAAGTAGTGCAGAAACAAGTTTTCCCTGCTTTTCACAATTTGTAACCCTACTGAATCAATACTGTTCAAGGAATAACCTGTATTTCGTTCTGACTTGCACAGCGGACACACTTTTTTCTTTCAAAAGCTACAGTTCATTCTTTCTTCAGTCACTTGACCTCCTGAAGATGCTCATGCTGGCTCTACTTTCTCTGCTTCTTTCCCTGGAGGAGCTGAGCAGCGGTGACAGTCTGAGGGATCTTCCCTTACATCTGACTTCCATGGCAGTAGAGCCAGCGTGCTAATCCTCGCTAGGAAACCCTACCTGTCAAGAGAGAAAGCACCTCTTGAGATGCACTGGACCATGAGGCCCAAGGGTGGTATTCTTCAGAACGTGAACTGATAATGTAGTTGTTAAGGAGGATTCAAGCAAGCCGTTTTCCAGAACCATACTATCTTCTGGACAGGCCAGGCCACTGGGCTGCTAGATACTTGTTCTTAGTCGTGCAGTATTCATTTCTGGGAAAGCTCAGGGATGTAGTCCCTGTTCCTGAGACTTTGGGGAATGCCAGGGCAGCAGGTGGCAGAATGAGTATGCAACAAACCTAGGGAAATTAAGCACAGAATTCCTACACAGGAATTATTTTATATATTCAGTAAAAGATTTCTTCATTTTGTTTGTCCAGCAGACATTTTTTCAGCCAACTATCCCTTTTTCCACCCCACCCTCCATGTGTCTGGTGAACATTAGTAAGACAGCAGCCAATTCAGCAAAGTAATGAAATTTCTGGGACATCCTGCCTGCCTTAAAATCAATTAGGTTTGCTTTATTACTTGGATAGGAACAAGTTTCTGAACAAACAGATGAACTTTCCTCTTTTGCCCTCTTCTAGAAGCCAGCGTGTTGGTTTTGGTTTCCTCCAGGACAGAAGCAATGCCACTGAGGGAGGGCAGAAGGAGGTTTCCAGGCTGCATTTAAATTCATTATGCCACCAAAACCCAGAAGCATGGACTACAGTGTAGGAGTCTTTTAACTGCTGAGG